CGGCAGGGTGCCGAGCCCCAGCCTCCCGCTCGTCACCGTCTTGGCTGCAAACCTGCCCGGTGGTGGATACAGGGCTTCAGGGTGAGCTGCCACCGCCCCGTCCTCTAGAGGGGACTGGGGAGGTGTGTGCCACCCACGGCCACCGTCACGTGTGGGTTCATGCAGGCTTCTTGTCCTAAAGGAAGCCCTGAATGGCCCTGTTGTGGTTTGGGTGGGGCTGGAGAGGTGGCAGTGCCTGCCCAGTCCCAGGGTGGGGATCCAGGTACCTGTACTCGTTGTCAGCGCCGCAGGGCACGCGGCCCACGTTGGCGGCCGAGGTCACTTGCTGGACGATGGCGTGGTCACTGCGGCACTTCTCGGACAGAGTCAGCTTCTCCATGATCTCACTCATGCCCATTAGCTTCCCTGGAGCAGGCAGCAGAGGCACCTGCCCATTTCTGGCCACACACCCAGCGGCCATGTCCCTGACAGGCCCCACTTTGCCATCCCCAAACCAAGCCCCTCCAGCCACCGGACCCCTGCGACATCCCAGTCCCATTTGTTTCTCTCCAGCCTGGCAGAGATGGATTTGGGAAAACTCTCTGTGACCCTTCCTGGGCTTGTCCCCACATCCCTGTGTGATGGCAGCAACGATGTCCCTGGGTACGGGCTCCTGCAGTGCCCAGCAGCAGTGGGGCCAGGTGCTGCAGGGCCCCCATCTGGGGGCATGGCTGGGGATGCTGCTGCCCCAGGAGCATGGGGACATGTGGCCAGGCTGTCCCTGTCACTCACCGGACGTGTGGGAATGCGAGGGCTGGCACAAGCCCTCCACAGGGACCCAGTGGGACCACCCTGGTGCCAGGGTGGTCCCCCCAACCCGCGGGAGGGACAAGGGGAGCAGAGCTAGTCTAGGGGCCTGCCAAGTGGCCACTTACCCTCGCCCGGCCGTGCGAGGTGCTCTAGGGCCACAGCGAGGGCGGTAGAGGGGACAAAATGGGGGGTGAGCACTGGCACTGGGGCAGCGTGTGCCCGTGCACTGCCCTGTTCCCCATCCCCCACTCACCCTGCTCTTTCTTGAACTCGTTCTCGCTCATGAAGACGGGGGCCATGAGCTCCCCCACGGGCGGCTGGATGGAGACGTAGAAGTGGCGTGTGTGGGTGCTGGGGAGACAGGAGGGTGAGGGGGGCATATTCTCAAAGTGTGCCCCCCCACCCCCAGGTCCTGCTTCCCATCCATGCCCTTGGCAAGGAGTGGCTGGAAGGAAAGGGGCACAAAAGGCCTCGGGAACAGTGAGAACCTGTTCAAGCTGAATCTGGGACTGCCGTTGCCTCCTTGTTCCCTGCAGGGATGTGCCCCAACCACTCCATGCCTATCCCAGTGTCACCCCTCCCCTGAAAGGACCCTGGTGTCTATCCTGCTTTCCCCTACCCCCCAGAGGGACCTCGTCTTACTGTCCCTGCTGTCCTCCATCCCCTGGAAGGACGTTGGTGCCTGTTCAGCTGTCCCCAATTCCTTGGGCACCCTATACCCTGTCCTACTGTCCTGTAGAGCACCCCATGCCCTGTCCTGTTATCCTCTGTGGCACCCTATATGCTGTCTGGCTGTCTCCTGTCCCTTGGCTGCTCTGTGTAGCCTGGAGTGATGTTAGTGGCCATCCCATTTCCCCCATCCCCCGGAACACCAGTGCCCTGCCCTGCTGTACCCCTTCCCTGGAGCACCCCACACTGTTCCATCCCCTGGGACACTCGTCCTTTCCTGCCCAGCACTGGGCACTCACCACAGCTGGAAGTTGGCCGCCTGAGTGGAGTCACAGAAGTCGATGCCCATCACCACGCTGGCTGTGTCATTGGGGGCCAGGCACTCTGAAACCACAGGGCTGTCACCACCTCCCTCCACCAGCCACCCCCTGTCCCCATCCCTCCCACGGCGTGTGGCTGTGCTGTTCTGTACCAATCTCGGGGAACTCCTGGATCCTCATGCCAGAGAGCAGCTTGGGCTCGCTGACCCGCAGGCTCTTCACCTCGGCGTCGGTGTTGTTGGAGATCTGGATCTGCACGGCCACCATGTGGGGGTCCCCGGGGAAGGGCCGGCGGCTGAAGCAGTACTCGACAGAGAGCCCCTCTCCCGCCATGCGGTGCAGCAGCTCGTAGGTCCTCACGGTGCCGAACGCTGGGCTCAGCAGCTGCCAGGGACCCAGGGACCGGTGTCAGCTGCTGACCCCACTCCTTGTGGCCCCTGCAGGTGGCAGGGATCCTGAGAGCCCCCTGGGAAGGATGGGGATGCTTACAGTGGGTGCCAGGGAGGTGTCGGTGAGCGTGAGGCCCTCCAGGTCAGTCACCAGGCTGGTGGAGATGATGTTGCTGGAGGGGACAGGCTGGGGAGGTGGGGGAGTGACTGTGGAGTTGGGGAGGAAAGGGTTAACAGAGCTCTGGTGAGCCACTGCCCCATGGGGACAGCCCCATGGGGACAGCCCGGGTGGTGTAGTCCCATGAGGACAAATCCACTGGCACAGCCTCATGGAGACAGCTCCACAGGGACAGCCCCAACAGGGACTGCCTTGCTGGCACAGCCACCTTGTCCTTCTAGGGACAAGGACTGTTCACCCCACTGGCCCCTGTCCCAGCTCAGCAGTCCCCAAAGGACCTGTGGGACCCTGGCCCCACCAGGAGGGTGTCCATGCCTCAGTTTCCCTAGTGCCATCGTGACAACCATCCCACATGCCCCGGGCAGCCACTCACAGTCATCCAGGTCGAGCAGGGAGATCTCCTTGGGGCTGGCCCTGCTACTGAGGGGCTGTGAGGGGACAGAGACGGGGGTGTGACTGGTGGGTCTGGGGGTCCCCCACTGCTGCTCAGCCCAGCCCACTCCAACCCTCACCACCTTCTTCTGCTTGGCATCTCCTTCAGAGCCTGAGTCAGAGCCCGAGGAGCTGCTCTCAGAGGCACTGGCCTCCTCTGATGAGGTCTCAGTGTGGCTCTTCTTCCCCTGTGACACCTTCTTCTTGGCCTTCCTTGCCCCCTCCTCCTCCTCACTGTGGGGAAAGTCCAGCTCAGGGGGCTGTGCAGTGGGGTTTGGCCGAGGCACCCTGCTTTCCCAGGAGGTACCTGGCCACACTTCCCGAGGCCACCTTCCGGGATCCTTCCTTCTCCTTCCTCTTCGTCCTCTTCTCCTCCTCTTCCTTTTCCTCTGACTGGTCCCCACTGCCTTCCTCCTCCTCCTCCTCTTCACTGCTGGAGCTGGAGCTGCCGGCGCTGCTGCTGCTGCTGCTCTCCTCGCTGGAGGACTCGGGCTCTGCAGGGGGCACAGCTCAGTCCTGCTGCTGCCTCCCCCAAGTCCCCACTGCCCCTGCTGCATCCCACTGCATCCCACCATCCTCCCATTGCATCAGAGCTCTGGTGAGCCACTGCCCCATGGGGACAGCCCCATGGGGACAGCCCGGGTGGTGTAGTCCCATGAGGACAAATCCACTGGCACAGCCTCATGGAGACAGCTCCACAGGGACAGCCCCAACAGGGACTGCCTTGCTGGCACAGCCACCTTGTCCTTCTAGGGACAAGGACTGTTCACCCCACTGGCCCCTGTCCCAGCTCAGCAGTCCCCAAAGGACCTGTGGGACCCTGGCCCCACCAGGAGGGTGTCCATGCCTCAGTTTCCCTAGTGCCATCGTGACAACCATCCCACATGCCCCGGGCAGCCACTCACAGTCATCCAGGTCGAGCAGGGAGATCTCCTTGGGGCTGGCCCTGCTACTGAGGGGCTGTGAGGGGACAGAGACGGGGGTGTGACTGGTGGGTCTGGGGGTCCCCCACTGCTGCTCAGCCCAGCCCACTCCAACCCTCACCACCTTCTTCTGCTTGGCATCTCCTTCAGAGCCTGAGTCAGAGCCCGAGGAGCTGCTCTCAGAGGCACTGGCCTCCTCTGATGAGGTCTCAGTGTGGCTCTTCTTCCCCTGTGACACCTTCTTCTTGGCCTTCCTTGCCCCCTCCTCCTCCTCACTGTGGGGAAAGTCCAGCTCAGGGGGCTGTGCAGTGGGGTTTGGCCGAGGCACCCTGCTTTCCCAGGAGGTACCTGGCCACACTTCCCGAGGCCACCTTCCGGGATCCTTCCTTCTCCTTCCTCTTCGTCCTCTTCTCCTCCTCTTCCTTTTCCTCTGACTGGTCCCCACTGCCTTCCTCCTCCTCCTCCTCTTCACTGCTGGAGCTGGAGCTGCCGGAGCTGCTGCTGCTGCTGCTCTCCTCGCTGGAGGACTCGGGCTCTGCAGGGGGCACAGCTCAGTCCTGCTGCTGCCTCCCCCAAGTCCCCACTGCCCCTGCTGCATCCCACTGCATCCCACCATCCTCCCACTGCATCCCCTATCTCCCCACTGCACCCCCCCTCCTCCCACTGTGTCTCCACACCCACTGCTGCATCCTCACTGCATCCCTGCATCCTACTGCATCACTTCATCCCCTCCTCTGTATCTCACTGCATCTCTGGATCCCCCTACTACATCCCCACATCCCCCTACTGTCCCCCTCTGCGTCCTCCCACTGCATCCCTGTATCCTTCTACTTCATCCCTGCATCCTCCCGCTACATCCCCACATCCTCCTGCATCCCTTTGCATCCCAGCACCCTGTGCTGCCTCCCACTGCATCTTGCTGCCTCTCCACGTCATTGCACTGCATCCCCACTGTGCCCTCCACATCTTCCTGCTCCATCTCACCATGTCTCCACAACCCCCAGCACATCCCTGCTTCCCCCCACTGCCTCCCCACATTCCCCTGCCACATCCCCACCACGATGGGATGACCCCACTGCAGTGTCTCTTGCCCGAGGCCCTACTTGTCCACCATGGCACTTGTCCCATTCCCCACCATGGTGGCACCTGCTGGATGTCCCTGCCACAGTGACCCCTGCCTGATGCCCCAGCACAGTGGCCCCTGCCCCATGCTGTGCCACACCACTGGGTCCGTACCACTGTCTGCTGACTCCGTGGGCCCCGACTCTCCCTCTGAGTCAGAGTAGAAAGGCTTCTCCACCTTCTCCTTCCTCTTCTCCCGGCTGGTGCACTTGGTCCACTCAGGAACCTGCCAGCACAGGTTTGGTGGAGCAGGGCCCATCACCCACAGGTGGGGGACCCAAACAGCAGCCCTTGCCCCTCTCATGTCCCAAGTGGGTGTGTGGGCACCATGGAGCAGCTGAGCAGCACCTGGGCACCTTCTGGGGCTCTCCCAAGACCTTGAGACAGTGCCCCCACTTTGTCCCCCTCCCAGGCACCCCAGGGTGCTCCACACACCTCCACGTTCCTCACAGAGGGGTCGGGAGCCTCATCTGGCCAGTCGGGCAGCTCCTGATAGCCCACAGCCTTGGCATTGAGCAGATGGGACAGAGAGCCCAGTTGGAAATGGTCCCGATCTAGAGTGAGGTGAGAGGTGGCAGCAGCTCGGGGACAGCCATGCAGCACTGTGGTGACAGCTTGCACCGTATCCCCATACCCTGTGACCAGGGGTGGGTACCTTTGAAGGAGGACTCCAAGATAGGAGCTGGTTTTTGGGCCAGGAAGAGCTTCTTGGCATACTTGTTGAGGGCCCCGCTCTTCTCAGTGGGCACGATGAGCTGGCGGATGAAGCGGGCTCGGTCGCGGATGTCGTAGTTCTGGTCGTACTTGGCCAAGTTGAGGACGTACTGGGTCAGCAGCTTGCTCTGCGCCAGGGGACACACTCAAGGCCAGCCCCTCCTTCCCCAGCGGGGAAACTGAGGCATCCCATGGGGCCCTGGTACCTGCTTGGAGTTGGTCAGGTAGAGCTTAGCTGCCAGGTTGATGACCTGCAGCTTGACGATGTCCTCTTCGTTGGTGAAGGACTTGGCCATCTTGCGTAGCACGTCAGGCGCGATCTTGGGCACGTGCTCGCAGTACTCGCCGATCAGCCATAAGATGCTGGCCCTTGCCATGGGCACCTGCAAAACACCCCTGGCACGTGGCATCCCTGCCACCCCCCTGCTCCCAGGGGCCACCCAATGCCCTGACCCACCTGGATGTTGTCCGTGAGCTTGGCCATGTGCTTGATGATCTCACTATGCTGGGCTGGCTGCATCTGCAGCAGCTTTTTGATGACTACCACTGATTCAGCCACCACCAGCTCTGTGGGCAGAGACCCAACCTCAGCAGGGTCCTGCCCCAAGCGTGATGGAGCCCCTGTTCTGCCCCCACCATGAGTGCTCACCATCCCGGTTGGAGAGAAGCTGGACCAGGCCGTTGAGGCAGGTGTCCCGCACCTTTCCGATGTTGGTGGCACAGCGCGGTGCCTGCCACAAAGTCCTTGTCCATGCTGCGGATGTAGGTCTGTGCAGGCATGATGGGGACACCATGTCACCCACATGGCAGTGCTGGGCATCCCCCCATGTGATGGGCACATGTTGGGGATCTTTGGAGCCAGCCGTAGGGTTGGCATGGCTTCAGCCCACTTCTCCTGGTGGGGCTGTCCTCCACCCCCTCCATGGTGATGTTCTGGCACCCAGAGCTAGCCAGGGTGGCATGCTGGTGGGCTCAGTATGGCCATGGCATACCTGGAACTCCCGCAGGATGGTGGAGATGTTGGTCTCATTGGCCAGGTTGGTGAGAACCTCCAGCTGTGGGAAACAGGAAGATATGGGCAGTATGGGGGCATAGTGTCAGGGCACGGAGCCCTTGCCGTCCTCCTGGCCCCATGGCATGGAGAACAGCTGCTCCACAAGGACAGGGCTCCATGAAGCCCCAAAGCCATCAGTGATGGGTTCTGCTGGGTGTTTCCAGCTCACCTTGAGAATCTTGATCTGTGTGGGATCTGTGGAGCGGATGTAGAAACTCTTCAGGTAGGGCTCAAACATCCCCTGCATGCAGAGCCAGCGGTGTCAGTGCCATCCCTGTGCACCCCTCACCGAGGCCATCTGCAGGCAGCTGGCCCTGCTGACCCTGCTGGCTAACCCTCATTCCGACCCAGAGTCAACAAGGCCAATTCGCCCCACACTGAGTCTGAGACTCACCCGCCGTTTGATGGACATGGTGGCCACATTCTGCAGCACCACGTACTGTACCTCACTGTGGGGACAAAGAGGAGACTACCATCAGTGGGGCAGGGCCAGACCTCCACAGCACATCCCCATGAAGATGGTGCATGACCCACCACCAGGCTGGTGCCACCATGACACTGCCACACCATGTCTGGTCTGGGCTGAGCCAAAAAGCCAGGAGGTCTCTCCTAGGGTCTTTCTGTGGGTCCCACCAACCAGGGTGATGGGGTAGGGGACCACCACAACCCGGGTGCCACAGACCTGTGACTCCGCAGAAGCCGCACCAGCGCCTTGGCAATGACACCAACCTCTGCCTTGGGTGCCAGGTGGAAGTAGAGCTGTGCCACAGCCATCACCACCTGCAGGGAGACACCTGAACATCACCCGGTGGGTGTGGGGACACCCCAGCAGGTGGCTGTGTCCCCAGAATCCCACCCAGCAGCACTCAGAGGAATCCCATCCCTGTGGGAGCCCATCCGTGGGTGTCCCTCAAGCACCACAGCGGTTTCTTGCCTGGTGGGGACATCACAAGCCCAGGCTGCTGTACACCACTGGTGTCCCCCAGGGGTGGGCAGGGCTAGGGCAGGGCGCTCACCGCCGCGTTGCGGCTTTGCAGCAGGGGCTTGGTGTTGCGCAGGAGCAGGCGGTGGTCGGGGTCCATGACGTAGGGCTTGCGCTTGGCCAATGAGGCCACCTCCGCCTTGGCGTCCTTGGCGTCCTCCTCCTCGGAGCCATAGAAAGCCTTCTCAGTGCTCTCCTCCAGTAAAGACTCCTGCCAACAGGTAGTACATCTCACACTCCCCCAACAGTACCATCCCTCACCACACCTCCCCGGTGGCACCCGGGACAGGGAGACACCTGAACATCACCCGGTGGGTGTGGGGACACCCCAGCAGGTGGCTGTGTCCCCAGAATCCCACCCAGCAGCACTCAGAGGAATCCCATCCCTGTGGGAGCCCATCCGTGGGTGTCCCTCAAGCACCACAGCGGTTTCTTGCCTGGTGGGGACATCACAAGCCCAGGCTGCTCTACACCACTGGTGTCCCCCAGGGGTGGGCAGGGCTAGGGCAGGGCGCTCACCGCCGCGTTGCGGCTTTGCAGCAGGGGCTTGGTGTTGCGCAGGAGCAGGCGGTGGTCGGGGTCCATGACGTAGGGCTTGCGCTTGGCCAATGAGGCCACCTCCGCCTTGGCGTCCTTGGCGTCCTCCTCCTCGGAGCCATAGAAAGCCTTCTCAGTGCTCTCCTCCAGTAAAGACTCCTGCCAACAGGTAGTACATCTCACACTCCCCCAACAGTACCATCCCTCACCACACCTCCCCGGTGGCACCCGGGACACCCTGAGGCTCCCCGGGCACCCTGAGGCTCCCACACTCACGTTCTGGTTGGGGCTGAGGAACTGGGTGCGCGCGTAACGGGTCAGCATGTTGATGATGACCACCTGCCCCCACTCCTCCACGTCGATGAGCAGGTTGCAGAGCTTGCGGTAGTTCTTGTGGATGAGGTCGATGCGCTCTGGGCAGACCTCCTCAAACGCCATCACCACACTGCCGGCCACCAGCTGGGGAGGGAAAGCCTGGGGTGACTGCCTGGGGTGGTGGCATCTTCATCATGACGCTGGCTTGGTGGGGATGGTGGCATCTCTGTGAGGATGCTGGTTTGGTGGGGATGGAGGCATCTCCATAAGGATGTCTATTCGGTGGGGATGGTGGCCTCTCCATGAAGATGGGGGCTCAGTAGGGATGGCTACATCCCTGTGAGAAAGCTGGATCAGTGGGCACAGTGGCATCCCCAGGAGGATGATGGTTTGGTGGGGATGGTGGCTACATCTTGTGAAGATGCAGGTCAGTGGAGATGGTGGCATCCCCATGAGGAGGTTGGGTTTTTGGGAATAGCAGCATCCACACAGGGACACAAGCTCTGCATGGATGGTTGCATCCCCATGAAGACACCAATTTGGTGGGGACATCTGCATTCCCACGAGGGTGCCAGGTGAGGGGGATGGTGACATCCCCAGATTTGAAGGCGGGGAAGATGTGTCACTCCTCTCACCGTGGTCTTGTCCGCCAGCAGCTTCTCAATCACTTCAATGAGCTGGTCCTTCTGGTCTGAGTCAAGGCTGTGAGGGAAGAGCAGGGCAGGTGCAGCCAGACCAACCTGCCCCCCATCCCTGCCTGTCCCTGCCTGCACCTGACACCTCAGCACTGGCCCCCTGAAACGTAGCAGCTGCCCCCCAACCCCCATTACCTGTACAGCTTGGGGATGGCATGGGCAGCCGTCTTGCGCACGTAAGGGGACATGTCTGAGGCGGCCTCCTTGATGGCCAACATCATGATGGGCACGATGATGGGCACGCGGATGCTGGAGAGGACCCGCAGGGCGCTGGCGCGGATCAGCTGGTTGGGGTCCTGTGGAGACAGGCAGAGGGCTGCAGGGTGGCCACAGGGGACTTGCTGTCCCTCTGGCCTCCTCCCCGGGTCCCCAAACTGCCTTACCTTGAGTCCTCGCTGGAAGGTGGAGATGGAAAGCAGGGCCAGGTCCTGCTGCTCCTCCGCGTAGCGCACCAGGTAGACATACACCAGCTTCTTCACCTGTGTGGTGCAGGTGGCGAGGCCTCCTCAGAGCTCCCCAAAACCCATCTGGTCCCCAAAACCCTCCTGTAAGGAAGGCACCAGATCCTAGAGACACCCAAGGGTGCTAGCAGGGCCACCCAAGACCTTCCTCACCTCGATGTTCTTGCAGGCCACGTTTTTCACCACGGCTGGGAAGAGGTCGGAGGCGTTTTTCCCCCGGGCGATCATCTAAGAGGGAAGGAGGCGGCGTGATGCACGGCACAGGGCAGCACAGCGTGGCACAGGGCGGCACAGTGCAGCACAGCGCGGCACAGGGCAGCACAGGGCAGCACAGGGTGGCACAGCGCGGCACAGGGCAGCACAGCGCGGCACAGGACAGCACAGCGCAGCGCAGCGCAGGGCAGCGGAG